AAACCACTCGTTAGACCATAAAATTGATGCTTGTGGGGGTGGGCTTTTAGAACCTCGTTAGATTTTGCAGATTTATATCAAATTTCTTATTTTCTGGGAGGGTGTGGGGTGGGAAGGGGAACTATCTTTATTTTCAAAGGCCAGCTTCATTGCTCACTGAAATTTGTTTATAGAGCGACAAACGCCAAATATATTTTCGACAGTAAAACATTCATCGATTCTTCTTTCGAATCGTTTTTTCTTTCTAAACTTGTCAACTTAGTTACTCAACGGTTACTAATTGAATTGCGCAGCCTTTATTCGATAATTGAATGCGTTTAATTTACACATTCGAGATAACTTTGTCATCGTTTCCGAATTTCAAAAAAAAAAAATTTGGACCGTTTTTCAATTTCCTTGGTTTTGGGTTGCTAATTTGAAGTCATTGTTTTGTTTGGTTTCAGAAAATCACATTCAGGCATTTTTATAGTGTTGTGAATATTGAAAGACATATTTTCTGTAGCAAAAACTTCAGCTTCAATTTTTTTTTTGATTTTTTGAAATCATTTTTTTTTTTTCAGTTATTTTTCAGTTCTCGAATGTCAACTGTTTGTAATGCAATCGGCTTTGCAATTTTTTACCGTTTTTCCTATTTAATTGAAAAAGCCTTTTTGATTTTTTCTCACCATTAATATTAGTTCAAACGACTACTTCTGTAAATTTAGGGCAGATAAAACGTCAGGCCGCCTTTAACAAATTTTCTATTAGTGCCTGTAATTGCTTCAAGAACTATTGCTTCAAGAGTGTGTTTTAAATAATGTTTTTTGATTTTTTCTTCAATTTAATTTATCTGATCATTTTCTTCGCAGTCACAGGAAAGGAATCATTTCAAACTTTTTTTGTGCGAAGTTAAGAATTGCATTTTTAATTATTTGTTACTAAGGTTTTGGGATGGCTTTTTTGAATGAATTTCTTTGAATTATAAGTTTTTTTGAGAGATTGTTTGGAAAATTGTGTAATTTTTTATTACCAGTTTTTTATCTGCCTGCTGTGTCGCAAGTGGTGCGAAGCTAAGCTTCGCCTGCGTTTATTATTGAAGGTATTTAAGTAGCACATCACTTTCCGCTGATTATTAAAAAGTAAACCCATCATGAGTTTTTATTATTTAGTTGTTCGCAGGTAGACGACGGAGAATACGACCCTACAGACAACACGCCTAATAGAGCCAACGCCTACGAGTATGTGATGTACGGAAAAGTGTACCGCATTGAGGACGGGGCGACAGGCGGGGGAGGGGGAGGGGGCGGAGGGGACGGGGACGCCTCACATGCTCAGCACTCTCCCAAACTAGCAGCTTATATATCTTATGGTGGTCTGCTGATGCGACTGCAAGGAGACGCCAATAATCTTCACGCTTTGGAAGTTGATCAAAGGGTGTATTTGATGATGAAGAAATTGGCTTTTTAAAACTTTCGCATTCTGTTTTTTTTTGCTGTGCAGAGCAAAGGAATACGCAGGGAGCTGGATTTTCAGCGTAATTCAAGTGATGAGTTGTGAGTGCGAAGGAAAATGCAGAAACTGAAATTTGTTGGATTCTCATCAGATAAACGGGAACTCGTGTAGTTATTTATGATTTAACTGTCTTCGTTTTGTTTTTGTTGCAATTAAATGTTGCTCAAAGAAAATAATTACTGAGCGATAATAGCTGAGATGCGTAGTGGGTTGAAAGTTTTTATAAGGGTTCATGAAATTTGGCTGAAAAATTATTGCTTTGAAACAAAAAAGTGTTCCTGTGAATGTCTTAAGTTTTAAAATGTTACTAAGTTCCATTTTATAAATTTGAATCAAACCGTGATTTTTGATTATTCAGCTTTGGCACTTAATATTGATCTGGAAACGCAACCTCAATCATTGACGAGCCCTTCAGGATTCACAAAGCAACCTTTCAACGGTCACATGTTGGTAACAGATAGCAAGGAACAGGTCAATGAATGGCTAGGAGCCTTGAAAAGCTGCTGAACTGGCCGATACCCCCGAGAGCAAGCAGAGTGGCGAGATCGGTTGTTAGTTGTTCTCAGTCGTTCTCGCTCCTTGAAGTTTTTTTTCAATTCAAGATCAGAAATAAGGGAAGAATTTGATTGACAATATTTGGAACCGCGTGAACTATGATGCCATTTTATATGAAAGCTACATATAACTCAATTTTAATGAGATAATATGTTGACCTAATGTTTGTAGATACCGGAAAAAAACTCAATAATAAATAACGCAATTTCTGTGTCCATGTTATTAATTCTTTGAAGGCGAACTCAAGACACTTCCTTAAATATGCCGTACCAATCAACATTGGTATTACTGATTCGCAGTGATTGTGTGGGTCGAAGCATCAATGATTCAACGAATTTTCAGGCTCTTGTCCGTTCTCTAAGATAGAACTTGGTTCTAGATGTATTTGTAGATAACTCTATTTTTCTGGTTGGTGATTTTCTGTAAGTTACGCTACATGTTCAGCTTAAAAGAAATCATTACTTTCAGGTTTTTAAACATTTGTTTTTTTTGTGTCTCTTTCGTTTTAAAAAACAAGGAATTCGCGGGACGCTGACTAATTTTAACAAAAATTCTCATCTATGGAAAAAATTCACGACTGTTACGCTGGTTGATATCATGAGAATGAAAGACGCAAGGGATGCAATGACTGCTGGTGATTACGATAACTGGCTTGCAGTTAGAGATAGAAGACATCAGTGAGGAGATAGAATTGCTGCGCTTCCTCCTGAAACGAGGGAGATTATCATCAACAATTGGCCCAGTAAAATTACTGACGGCGGTTGAAAACTGGGCGGTTGAAAAGGTTTTGTTTAGGTGACTAATTATCATGTTTCTTCAAGTTAGGGTTATTAACTGCTTAGGTCTATTGAAAGTAGCGAGCTCTTTAAAGTGTTTTTGATTGTTAATAAAACTGCGAATCAACACGTATTGCTGCTGTAGGTTTACTGTTAGTGATTTCCTGGTAAAGCAAGAGTGTTGCAACCGGGTACTAGATTTTTTCCGTATATAACTTTGTATACAGTATGACTGAATTGGATGGTCATCGCAATCTGTAATTTCGTCAACTAACTGGCGAATTTTGAACATCTATACGTTTTAAGTGCCCGTTCTATTTATACAACGAGAGTTAGAATATTCTTTTTTTAACCTAAGTCGCAAATAGTGGTGCCATTTTTAATGACACCTTTACGGCTTATTGATGGCATGTGCTTTGACGTTCGAATTATAATAAGTTACCACAGTTCATACTTTTTCATGTCAACAAAGGAACCAAAAAAAGCTTTTTGTTTCAAACAGTACAGAAACGGCTTTTCAGAACTCTTCCAACTCAATCTATCTCGCAATTCTTATGAAATGTATAATATATACATAATATAATTTTATGTTTTCAATTCTAGAATTTTTCCCGTTACCAACCTTACTTACCAGAAATTGAACTTGCTTTATTCTTGAACCTTAACAACTTCCAGATACTTCCCACTTGGCCTAGAGTCAATGCGCTCCGGTAGAAACTTCTTTTTTTTTCAGTTTAAATAAAAAATGTTTTTTTATTTGGTGAAAATTGAATTATCATATTTTGGTATGTCTGCGCAAGTTTTATTGACTTAGGTGCCACATTGCTGGTGTCTGCTCAAAGACTGTCAGCTTTGTTTCCGCTTCGTAAATTCTGCTTCCTTGTTAAATTACAATTCAAAGTCTTGCGTGGCATGTTTGCCAACGACTCTTCTTTGATAAAGAACAAGTACTATGAAAACGTATGGGTTTGTTTTTTAATTTATGAGATGCTTTGAAACTTATTTTTGTTTTTGGAAAAAACTAAAGTTTTCCTCAGAAGCTGTTATATTAATTTCCAGAAAAAGGGGTATCAATAGAGAGATTGCCTACTCCACTGTCGGCCTGCTTAATCCTCTAGACTCTTTTTACTTACCCCACTGTCAAAAAAGCTACATTCAGAAATTGGGCGAACAATTGACTAATAACTTCGGATTCTTTTTGTTTTCTCTCAAGCTATGTTCCGAAATCTTTTTCAATGGACAACGAGTTGTGGGCCGCTCACCTACGCAAGCGGCTACGCTCAAATGTTTTTAACACAAAAAGTACTCACCCTCCGAAAAGTCAAATTTTTGATTATTTGAACGATTTTTGAAACTTTTAAAGTATTTTCGAAAACTACCCTCCCAAATCTGATATTTGGGTTCTATCCAAAAATGGGTGTAAGGAGTTTCTTTGCATTTGCGACTAAGCCCAAATTTTTCAACACAAAAATATCGGGCCATAGGAAATTCATTAATTTTACTTTTCTTTAAATCTTTTTCACCTTTCTGGGAAACTACACTCACATTTGAGACTTAGGGTTTAATGGAGATAAAAGGTGGTGGGAAGCTTCTCTGAATTGGTAATTTTTTAACACAAAAAGTTACGGCCCTCGGAAAAGTCTAATTGTTTTTATTTTTTGACCATTTTTCTTGAATAATGTTTTCTCAAATCTAAACTTAAGGTTCAAGCGAATTAACTGGTTGTGTGAAGCTCGCCTGCAATCGACTACGATAAAGTTTTTTACACAAAAACCTATAATCATCCAAAAAATCAAATTTTTTTACCCTTGTTTGAATGTTCTTGATTTTTCTTCATAAATAGGAACACAAATGTGAGATTTTGGATTTAATCCAACAAACAGGTCGTGGAAAGCTACTTTTCATACGCTATTTTGCCGAAAATTTTCTAAACAAAAAGTTATGGCCCTCGGAAAAATTAATTTTTCTGAATAAAGTTTTTTGAATTTTCTGGAGTGAAGTTATTTGAATTTATTTGAATTTTCCCAAAAAGTTTTCTTCCAAATCAGAGTTTTTAGGCACAATCAAAAATACAGGTTGCGTGAGTCTTTTCTGAATAAAAGTCTGTGTCAAATTTTTTTACAACCTGAGATTCTCGGAAAAGTCAAATTTTTGATTTGTTTGCCTTGTTTGGAAACTTTTCTCAATACTTATCCTACCAAATGTTATACCAAGGGTTTAGTCGATACTACAGGTTGTTTAAAGCCTATTTTTATAATTTGCTATTTCCATTTTTCTGAGAAAAAAGATTGCTTTCAAAAAAGTTCCAGTTGTGGCCCTTTGACCGTTTTTTTTTTTACTTTTCTCGAATACCACCCTGCCATTTCTCCGGTTAAGTGTTCAATCGGAAAACCCGGTTTTGATAATCTTCTCAGAAAAAGTTATGGATTTCCGAAAGTCTTTTTTTGAACTTTTCAAAGTGCCTTAGAATTTTTTGACTTTTCTTAAAAATTACTCCATCAAATCTGAGATGAAACGGTGACTCCTTGTTTTTTTTGTAAATTATTAGATTAGAGAAACAACTGAGGTTTCGGGTAATTTATATTCCCGAAATTTATATAATTTATATAGGTTTCGGGTAAGACGCCGACAATACTCACGTATTGTCGGCGTCTGCTGAGCGTCTGCAGAGTAGTCAAACTGTTGATTTTTTGACCGTTTTCATTTTAATTTTTTTGACAGTTCTCGACATTAACCCTTTCAAGTCTGAGATTGAGTTCAAACGAAACTACAGCTTCATTTATTCTGTTCTCCATAGGTAGCATCGCCCTATTTTTTCACATAAAATTTCTCGGAATTGTCAATTGTTTGATTAGCTGACCGTTTTTTGGACTTCTCTGGTTAACTGTCCGGCAGAATCTGACATCAGAGGTTTAATTCGGATTAACAGATTGTTGAAAGCCTACCTTTATAACTATTTGTGCCTAGTTTTTGTAGGAAAAAAAGCAATTGCCTTTAAGCAAATCGAAGTTTTGATTTTTTGACAACTTTTATGCCAATTTTTTTGGGAACCTTTTCTGCTTAAGCGAGGTTAACCTGCTCTTTGCAAGAAGAATCTAGAAATTCCGAAATCCTTCGACCAATTGTTAAAAATTTTGACTAATCCTCCTGTGAAAACAGATTATCTCAATATTTTTACACTTCTAATTTACTTATGTGGAGAAACAACTAAGATTTTGGGCAAAGTCCAGTTCTAGGGATTATATCTTGCGTGCTGCATCGGTATAGCAATTTCATTCAATATCACTCACATAAAATAAGCTTTAGCTGGTGTCTTATTCATTTTTAATCTAGACATATGAAAAATTTGGTTCATCTAGTTTTTTTCAACAATCAAATTTTTTTTTCGATTCATGGTTTTTTATGGTTTTAATATTTCGCAAAAGGTGCTAAGCTCAGACTGGCCTCTGTGTTTTAATATCAAAAATCATGAGCTGAATTGTGAGGAAGAAATGAAGTATCTTGGTGTAGTTTTAGATGAGACGCTTATTTATAAGCAGCATATAAATCAACTAAATAAAAAAACTCTCGATGCTCACGAACGAAATGTATCACCATACAATATTTTTCAATCAAAAGACTTTAGTTAGACTTTGTAAAGCATATGTAGCACCGGTACTGTTTTATGGAGTATTTCTCCAGTAGAAATTAGAAATTTCCAAAAATAGCGCTTTCCGCATTCTTTTTAACTCAAAAAGAACGGAAAGGTTAAAAAAAAGAAACAGTCACAAACAATCACAAAATAAGAAACAAACAAGCTAGGAAATATATGACTAAGAATTGACTAAAACATTGACGAAAATAATATAAAATGAAAATCCATGCTCCACAATCAACAACGTAATATCACCCGAAGAAACAGATCACGGTCTGAACCAGAAAAATAGAATAAAGTCTCACGAACATTCAAAAACAACAACTATCACAAGCTTACGAAACTCAATAAAGTTTTTATCAAATTTGATAAAAATTTTCTAATTGAAGCTGCGCAATTCAACGAAAAAAAATTGAAAAAATTAAAACATCACTTTCACAACAACATTTGTACAACAAGTTGTGGAGATTTGTACAGTAAGATATAAAGTGAGTTTTAATGATGAAATTTGAAAACAGGTGCATTCAAAAAAAACCGCACCAAAAAAATGTTGCATCTTTTTTCTCGCTGTCTTTTTTTAGAAAACAAGTGCGTTACACAGAAAAAATGTCAAATTTACTTTGCTCTTGAGGCGTCCTTTACAGGGTCACTGCACTATCACCTTCACTGCCGAAGTAGTGTACTAACTGTAAAATATTTGGAAACGACCTCATTATGATCTGATGGTCCCTGATTATTGAGCAAAGCTTGTTTATACAAAACCTTTTGTCCCCGATTAACAACCATTGACTTTTAACGCATGGTTTTTTCTAGTTTCAGATATGTAGAAGTGGATACAGAGGTTTTTGTAAAGAAAATCGAAAAAAAACGGGCTGGTTATATGCGGTCATTGGAAGCTTTTGCGTCAGTTATTAACCTCCTGACAATTCATGGTTTACTATTTTCCAAGCCAATTTTCCAATCTTGGCTATTTTTTGGACCGTTTCCGCCTATTAGTCGAACTTTGTTATGTGTTTTCCGCCTCCGATTTGATAGATATTGGCGGTAAAGTCGCCTTTAGTGTCCTAAAATGCGCGAGTAGTGCAGAAAATTAAATCAAAAATCAAATCACTTCTGTAAAACTATCTTAGTGAAATGCAAAATTTAGTTATCATGGGTTTTTGAAATTCAGTTGTTGTGATAAGCTTAATCCAAGTTGTACAAATTTTACAAAGAGTGTGTTTGAAAACTATTATAGTAACCATAAACGAATGAAAGAAAGAGAAACCGAAACCCATAGAAACTTCCATACAAAAACCCATAGAAATATGAGAGAGCAAAACCCTTTCTAGCCAGTTGTTTAGTTTTGAAGAATAACAAAAATGATAACTTGAGTTTGTTTCACTCTAACGATACGCATAATTTTCCAAAATTTTCAAAACAAAAAAAACTATCATTAGACAAAATACAGTGAAAGAGAAGTTCTTATACGACAAAATACAGTGAGGCAGACTATGAAGTAAAGAACAAAACACAGTGGAAAGGCAGTCGAGGCTGAAAAAAAAAACAAATTTTAGAATAGCTAGAACCGGAAACTGATTGTTCTGATTGGAAAAAAGATTACGTTAATTGCCAAAATTTTGGATGATTTTTAGGCCAGCAAGCTTGATTGCAAACATTTAACTATATGCTTAAATGGAAAATGGTTAAAGTATGAGCAAGATAGCATCATTTCCTTCTGAAAGATGGAGGAAACTTGGAAACTTACTGCAGAAAAAGAAGGTGAATTCGTTAATTTTTAACTGAAGAAAACCTTTGGCTCAAATCTTAAAATGTTAAACCCGAATCAACCTACTAGTAAGAGCTCAAGTGTCAGTAGTCATGTAACTTCGGTAGACACGAGAAGGTAACAGAATATTGAAAAATTCAATTACAGATCACTATGCAGTGACTTTTAAAAGTATAATGGTGATAGTTTTGAGGTAAATACAAAAGAAAGAACGAAAAGTTGGCTGAGACTTGAAAATTCTCATGCAAAGAAACAAATGAAACAATTACGGAAACATTGACAATTGAAATTGATAACAATAATAAAAAGAACACTAAAGAGTAATTTGAAAGCTTTCAAAATGCTCCTGTCCAAAACCTCAATCGTTTTCCACCGGAAAAAAAACAAACATTCAACAACTGTGGTTCAAGATCATAAATAATAACAGCAGTAAGGAGGTAAATTTAAAAAATTAACCAGATTTGGGCTGAAAATAGAAAAAAACGTCAAAAAAAGAAAAAATATTCAAAAATTTTTTGAATAAATTGACCTGTTTGATAATGAGAGCCTGAAAAAATTTTCGAAAAAATCAAATTATTCTTTTCCAAAAAATAAATAAAGATGCACCGGTATAACAAAAACTAATCAATCAAGTTATGGCTGCATAATCAAATTAAAACCGCAGCAGTGGAGAAAAACCGATTGAAACTTGTTTCAAAGCACACTGAATTTGAAATCTGATTTCTATCCGTTTCAGCAACGAAAAGACGAAAGTAGTTGATTATGGTCACTCAATGTACCCAATTTTGTCAGTGAACAGGATGATTTTATTGTTTTGGGTTCGATAAAAACTAAATTTAGCCCTGATTTTTGAAGGCAAAATGATTATTTCTAAAAAAAATTGATTGAGCTTAAGTACAAACAAAACTCAGTAAAAAGGCAAACGCGGCGGACCTTATAGATTAGTCAAATATGAAAATGGAAATTTTTGATTGGCAGAATAAACGTGCATTGTCAACAAAGTTGATTGAGTTGCAAATCATGGTAAGCATTTTTGATTACAATTTTTAGCTATATGCATAATCGAAACATAGTTTACATATGAGCACGATTGTACCAGTTCCTTCTTGTTAGTTAAAAAATATTGGAAACTCCCTGCAAAAAGGGACTTTTTTCAAAGTTCTACACTGTGTAACATATAACGGTTTCGCGTTCGGAGCAGTACTAAGACAATCGATGCAAAAATTCTAATCACGGAAAATTTGATCTGAGAAACTTTTCACATTTGGGGTCCCACGGGGCTCAATTTTCAAACTGTTTTTGCTCATACTTTTTGTTTACGATATATCAACCAATTAAAAATATTATTATATTATTATATTTTTACTGCATTTAAAACAACAACAGAGAAAAGAACAAAAATTACAAAAAAAAGCAATTTGAAAAACCTCCAGAAACTTTTGATTCAAATTAAAAATAACTAAATGAAACGGAAAAACTTATCCTCAATACAGAAAAAAACTAAGACAAAATTTTTCCAAAAAGCAGCAGAAACTAATCAAAAATTTAAAAAGTGAAAATGAACAATGAAATAAAGGAGCAAAAAAATCCTTTTCTTAGATTAGTCTTAGACCAACATTTCAACTTCCCGAGAGCATATTTATTTGTTAGACAAGAAACTCAGCATGTTCTTTGGATCGTGAAAAATTGTGTCTACTAAACATCTGATCCAGATAAATAAAGTTTACGCATTCAGTTCGATGTTTTTTGAATCTTTTTAAATGTCCAAATGATATCTGGAAAAAAAATTGAAATGTCACTTGTTAATAGCTTCGCCTGGATCCAAATTTTACTAGACTGCCGTCGAGCAATGTGAGCAAAGTGTTAATCTATAATTTAAGCAGGTGAAAAATTTATAATTTATGCTCACTTTTGTAATCAAAAGTGAACCCAAAACTTCATGTGTTTCTGATGTTCTAATGTATTAAAATTTTTTGCAAACTTTCAAGGCTATATTAGATTTTTCCCATCTTCAGAAAGTAATTCCTTAAACTCATCTGCTGACAGTTCTCTAGCCTAATTTCAATGATGTTTTATTTTATTGTCATTCAATTAAATTTATTGCAGTTTTTTCAAAAATCAAAAGTTTTGTGCTCAAATATCAAACCCTAATTCCACCATGCGCTACGGACGCAAAATGTCTGCTCAAATCAAAGCACAATGTTTAAGAAATGCCTTCCAGAATATTGTTTTAGAAAGTTAATCATTCTGACATCTTCATTATCCACCAATGAAAAACCATTCTTGCTTATTTCAAATTCGTGATTTTTTGAAAGTTTGAAGCATATCTATCAGTAATTATAACTCAACCATGTGAATTTACTTTTTAATTTGCACAAAAAATTGTTTCTAATTATTCATTGAAATTATCATGAATTATATGTTTTTATACGGTTTCGTAGGCCGATAACCGTCAATGATTTTGCAGCTGTTCGCTAATTTTAAAAATTACTCAGGACAAAACTGAGCTGTAAATCATAATGCCATTCATCAAAACGATTTTGTTTGTGCATAGAATAGTAAGCTGGCGTTTTACCGAAAAGGGGTACCATTTGAGCGCGACCATTTCTGGTTCACCAACCTTAGAACTTTTGTTAAAGCGCCAATAAGCACCGGTTTTTTTTTTTGGGAGGGGGGAGGGGGGCAGCGTGCGCCGAGAAAATAAAGCACCTGGCAAAAACCAATTTTCTCGTTATTACGCTTTGGTTTTAAAAAACTCTTTGGAAACCGAATCACTGCTTTTAGTTTAGAAGGATGATGCCATTGGTATAAGCATTTTTGTGAATTGTGTTTTTATTTGGACAACTGTGAATTAGAAAATTAGACAATTTACACAATTCACAACAGCTGCCACGTAATCTAAAATTCGTCTTGGCGGAGAAATTTTTTTTAACAATTGAATGAGCCATCATTGGCCAACTATTTTTCGATTGAGAATAGCCTTTTGTTGCAATCTGTCAGTTGAATTTGTCACAAGTTTTGTTCGAGAAATGAAATGGTTCATATTTTTCGTCTATGCCAGTCACTTCAGCACAAATCTATCAACAAATTGAAAATAACTATTGACAATGCAGCTACATATGTGCATACTTCAGAAATCGTTCAATGACCCTCAAAAACAGTATTCTCAAAAAATGCATTTTTGGCGCGTGACTGAAGAACTAACAACAAAATTGGTTTCCCCAAAATGGTCGCAGAGGTTTTTAAGTTTTGAAATTTCTAACATCGATTCTTGAATTCTAAATGCACTTCTGAACCTCTGGATTTCAAATAAAAAATTTTTCAATGAATAGCAAGAAGACTTAGGTTAATCAGAAAAACTTAAATTAGAATATGGAATGTTAAATAAAAACAAAAACAACAATTGATAGCGGCATAACAATTATTAAATCTATAAACGGAACCCTTATGGTAAATATGTTCCAAAAGCTTCATAAGATTGAGTTTAGCTGATTTGCTTTGCCATAATTTGTCTGCTTTCTCTCCTTGATTTTCGCCAAAGCGATGTTTGCCAGAAGTTTTTTCCGGTTTTTTGCAGAACTAACACCAATCGATTTCAAACTTGCGTCTTGAAGGTCAAAAAGGTCTTTCAATTCCATGTAGCCACTTTGTTCAAGCTTCTCGCTGTACTGTGTCATACTGATTTCCTTCAGCCATTCGCGCACTGTGATTGGCTGAGCCGGTTTGATCGGTGCACCCGAGTTGTCGGTGCCGGTCGGCGAGGTCGACTGCGGAGGTTCGAGTCCCGCTAAGGACACTTTTTGCAAGGTCATGCTAAAACAGTGGAAGAAAATTAATAAACTTTTTTTTGCAAAAATGGACTACAAATATACTGGATCAAAAACTGAATTCCATTTCATATCCTAATAAGTTCCGGTCTCGGAAATTATTCTGTTCATTTTTGCGGAAACTGATAAAAAAAATTGCGGAAATTAATAATTATAAAAACAGCAAGTTTCTCATTTGTTTATAATTTTTCTGTGTACTATAAATCACTGTAGACTTACTAATAGTCGTTCGGTTGGTCGACCAACTTTCCGTATAGAGTAGGCTGGGGGAACTGGAATTCATTGGTGACACAATGAACGCGTACAAGTGCGGATATTGCCTCGTTCACTTGGCCGAACCAGGGTCTGAGTGCTCTGTTCTCGTTCCAGCAGTCGTTCATGAGTTTGGACAGAGCAGTTGGACAGTTGGACGGTGGAGAGAGACGTTTGCCAGAGGTGACGAACTCACAGATCTGAAGATTAAAATGGACAATGAATTTGGGATCCAAGTTGGTCTTATGGTTTATCTTTTTTTTGGCTTGCATATCATCACTAAATTGTATGGGATACTTTATTTAACCCTTTTTCGTATAAAAATTTAGTCTGATACACAATGTTCAACTCTTTCAATTTTTCAAAGTGAGCTTTTTTACGCCTGCTTTATTTAGTTTAGTTATGTAATTTATTTGACTAAGCAAAAGTTTTTTTCTAAGAAGAAGATGACTAATAAGTGGCTCCTCGCCTGTTGTGCGTTCATCTGTCCGTAGGGTTCCTGACCCTTACTCATCACTTCCCACGTGACCACCGCGAAACTCCAGACGTCAGAGGCACAGCTGTACTTTCCCGCACCAATACCAACACCAATGGATCCCCCTCCAACGCCTCCAGCACCTGTTGATACTGCGCCACCCCCTCCTGACTTGACACTACCCCCACCTTCCCCGCCCTGTGCTGAAGTGGGGGACGAACAGGTACTGCGGCTACTGTTCACTGTCATGACTTCGGGTGCCTGCCAAGGTGCCAAGTACTCGGAAAGCTGAAACGAAAACAACAAGTTATTACAAAAAATTTAGAAATCAAGGTTAAGTTTAGAGAGTTTAATTTTTAAAATTTTGTCCCCATGTGGTACTATTTAAGGAGTCTTTTGCCAATATACAAAGTTAGAACCTCTCAATATTTTTAAGAATGGGAAGGGGAAGGAGAGCTTGAAAGGCGCGGGTACTAGATTCAACATTTGTTGTTCATGAACACTTTGTAGATTGAAGGGCTTTTATCTGTTTAACTATCCAAATTTCGAAATAATTATTCGGTAATTTTTCAAAATCTAAGCTTTACGTGCTTCTAAAGTCTGCATAAAATAGCCAGTTGGCATGATTTGGTTTGTTAGAATTGATCAAATGTTATAATCTGCTGTCGCTCTTTCGTCTGCTCGCAACAGTGTCGGTGTTGATTAGGGAGCTTTCGATTCATATCAGCGATTAGAATTCGTTTCAACAGGTAAGATGTCCAGGTATTAAGGGATTATGCCCCGCGTTTGGCTGTTAATGATTGCCCATTTTTAGTTATATCAACCTTAAATTCAATTTATTTAAATCTCTTATCAAATTTCAGAAAATAATAGGTTATAAAACACTTTGGGCTTGCATTGACTTTTTCCAAGTTCTCCAACTCATTTTAGTTCATAATTTTTTGCAGAAATATTAAAACAGTAGAAGATAGATTTCTTTCGGAATTGAAAAATAGCATTTTTGTCACATTTAAAAACTGTTTCTGGGATACTTGGAGTCAATTTTTGGCTAATTTGTCTGGTTTTAAGACAACAAAAGACAAACTTCTTATCATCAAAGGTCTTTAAAGGCAACAGAGTAGACCTTAAGACCACTTTTAGGCATCTTTCATTAGCCTGACTAGTTATTGATACTTGAACGGATTTGATAGAGCGTAACCACTTAAAGGCAGGCTCCAGTTTTTCCAATTTCGGGCACATAAAAAAAGAAACAAAAAAGACACGCAAAAGTCATTTTTGTCTCATTTGAGCCCAACTTTGAAATAATATCCAGTAACGACTTTGATGAGGTGTTCGACAGTTGCAACCCAAATTTAACAAAGTCGAAAATGATCATTTGGCTAACAAAGCCGAAAAAATCCAAAGAGTTTTGGGGTTATCAAAAGAGTTTTCGTTCAATGCTCTTGACAAATTGGAACTTACAAGTTAAATTTCATCCACTATTTATTAAATTAATTCTAAAAAGTGATTTACGAAAATCTTAATTATATTGTTTTTTGCTTTTTTTTTGAAATTCGTATGTCAAAATTAAAGTTTTTTTTCGTCCCTGTTATCCTTCGGCATTGCGCCCGTTTCTTTTCTTTTTGAGACGCCTGAAGAAACTTATGGATGATGGAATCGCAGATGCTTGGCAGACAGACTATGAATTCCCTCCCCGCATAATTTAGCCAGAAGTTCTGTCTTTTCTTTAAAATTGAGCAATTACGGACGGAGCATGTGGATATTCAGGAAATCATCATCGACCGGCCAATGAACCCTTCTCTTTTATCTTTGCTGATGACTATTTTTTTTAATGAAAAATGCCAAATCGAATTTTTGCTTTTTGACTTTTTTAACCATTTGCAAATACTTTAGATTAATGGAAAAATTACAGCAGGCAAGAAATTTTTTTAAGTTTTTTTTCAACAGTTTAATTTTTAGATCATAAATGTAAAATGTTCAGAAACAACATTTTTTGAAAAATTAAACCTGTCATTTCTAAATGTTTAAGAGTTTCACATAATGTAAAGCATCGTTTTCTTTACTAACGTATAGCCATAAACCAAAAACGTAAGAAATCAAAAATGCAGAAAAACATCAAGCAAATAGGTGTGTTCAAAAAATGAGAATATATATTTTAGGACGGTGGTTGCTTGAATGGAACTTTGAACCATGGAGCCATTTTGGGTTTTATTTGACTGAGTTTCCAATAAAAGAGCTCATAACACGAAATTGTGAGTTAGTACTAAAGTTATTTCACGATTGATTGACGAAATCATATATTGCGATTAAGATTAACGCAATATCATAGATTGACGAAAGCAAATATTTTCAGCTTTATTTTTAGTATTTCCCAAAGTAGCGGAGGTGGAAAACAGTAAAATTAGCCGGCCGTGCATTTGATGTAAAATGAATCCGGGGAGCAATTAGGGAAATGAGCCCGGCTCATTTTAATATATTTCAAATTAAACCCAAATCATTTATCAAATATGCAATATGCGCTATCTTTATTATACCCTTTATTCCCAGCCAACATCCACTAAAGCCAGGGGCAGTTTTCCAACCGGAGAACCCCCGCTTTGCAATACTTTCAGCCCCTCTTGCTCTTAGCACATGGGGGTTATAATAACCCGATAACTGGATATAGTTATAAAGCATAATCTGATAAGGCATACAGGGCAAAGTCATTACTAGGCCGCAAGGCTTGCTACTCGAGACGGGTTTACAGCCGAAAAGCGCATAAATAGGCTTGTAAAAACGTATAAAGAGCCCAAATCGGATCAATTTTACATTCATTTCATCGTTCGTTATCCTGGTTGAAATTGAATTTCGCCCCAAACTGCGATTTAACAAATCAATCATAAAAGCAGTCAGTCAATAACAACAACGTGAAACAAGCAACAGCAATATCAATTTGAGAATTTTTCTGAAAATCGCAAAAAAAATTCTTTCTTCATGGTGTTTGTTCTTGTTTTTTAGTGATTTTTTGGTCATGTGACTGATGAAGTGGAAGCTTTGTAAGTTCGAACTGCAAACTTATTTCCAAACTGTTTCCTCTTTAGACGAGGAGAGAGAGCAGATGTGTTTGAACATCTCTCAAACCTGCTTGAAAATACGCCATATTTCTACCGCTGTGAAATAGAAACAAATGTTTCAACTGATGGAAATTTATACCATTTGTATGCATTAGACCCTCACGGGACTCGAACTTTTGACCTTGTGTCTATGATTGTATTTAATTACCCACTGTGAGAATGAGTTCAACAATGCTCACCTCTTGGAATGTTTTAGTGTTGGCGTTGCTCTCGTCCAGGAGAGCTCGCATGTCAAATCCACATATCTTGGGCACCTCTCGCTCCGTTATGATCACGTTGCCAGATGTCAACACCTGGACAATAAATAAGAAAAAATTGTCGAATGAGATAAGTTTTTTTCTGGATTTGTGGAATGCGAAGATACATTTCACCCCATATACCTAAATAAGGTGAATCGAATGTATAACAAATTCTTTTATAAAATGAGTTTCAAGTCTTGTCTTTTCTTTTTAACTTTTTCAAAATTTGTCTTTTATTTATTATTTATTTTATTTATTTAATATTTGTCCTTGCTATTTATGTTATAACATTGCTATAACATAAAGTATAGAGAAAATAGTTCAAAAAGTGAAAAACAATTTGGCAAGCCAACGATCTGAAAAATTGGTTTTCGTTTGTTTTTCAAATTTGAAAGAATAATTTAAGCCCCCACCAATGTAGTAGTTGTGAATGGGGTGATTAGTTACCTTGTGTACGTATCCCAGTTCGGAGAGGTAGTGCATGCCCTGTGATATTCCCTTGACCAGCAGCAGTTGGGTGGGGAGGGAGAGAGAGTGGGTGGAGTGTCCCTCCTGTAGCACCCGGTAGAGGGGACCCCTCTCGCATAACTCACTCACCCCCATCCACATCGCATCTAAACACAAAATAACACATTATGATAAAATGTAATTATTGTGGATCGATGCGAAGCAATAGAGTTATTAGGAAGATTTGTATAGATTCTATAAAACAAATAAGAGAACAAAATAACAAAATTCTTAAACCCAAAAAAGACTTACACCCAAATTTTCAAAATTCAAGCAGTAAACAAGGTTAAAAATTTTTGTACCTGAGTAGCAGGTATTTTTTTGAAAAAAAATTATTGAATTTTCACCATTTTTTTGGAACTTTTTGACCGAAAAGTAACATCTTAGATATTGAAGTAACATCTTAGACATGATTTTGGATTTTTGTTACTTTATCTATTTTTTATAGCTTTGCTTGATGAAAATATGATTTGTTTCCGGCATGTGACAAAATATAAGCCCATATATTTGTCGTTTTATGGAACTTGTCTTACAAAAATGACAACCATTTCCTTTGGTCCTTTAGCATATTTTTACTTATCTATCCAGAATTTTTTCCTTCAAAAATGATTTCTTGTGGTCTTTTTACATCTAAATCTAAATCCGCCTTTAATCAATAAAGCTTTTTTTTCTTGTTTATCTTTTCATTTTTGCTATCGCTGACTAGAACTTCTATATCAGTTTTGACAAGTGGAATTCTAAGACAACTTCAATTGTTGCTTCATTATCGTCACTATAGTGATTGGCGCGCGTCTTTTTATTTCTAACCAGGATAGTTAAATTGTTCCCTTGAAACACACCCCTTCATTTTTGCTTTAAGGGAATTAAAAAGGCACAGCTAGGGTGCTTCCGCGCCGGAATTGAAAAGTTTTTACGTCCTGGGCAGGCGTGTTCAAGTGCCTCAGCGCATGAACTGAAATGAAGTACTCTGTCACTCAATGCTCCCGTGTTTGACCCGCGGCAATGGATGTTAAAAAATGGGAAAAATGGAATGCATTTGATTTAGGGAAAATTGATCGATAGCAAAGACTACAATAGGCTTTAATTGAAAAGATTGCCCCATGTTTAGATACGGGTGGAGTTACACAGACGCATCTATGGGAATCTTTGAATTCTAGTTATTGTCTGTCTGTCCGTTTAATAATCCACTATCTAACCAGTTATATCTGGCAATACAAACAGGCCAAATGCCCCCCTATAGAATTGGTCAATTCTTTCTAATCCTTCAGCTGAAAAAATTCCCCAGTTTGGTTCCGCTAAATTTGGTTTCCAAGTCAAGTGCAACCCAAAGAGCCCTCAAATCGCACCATTGAGTCCAGTTTATAAAAAACTGGTCTTCGAGAGCAGCCTCGAATGTCAGATAAAAGCGCCAAATTCTCCAACTAAGGCAACTGGCCATAGCGAGCCACAAATTATAATACCTTCAAATGCTCCACAAATTTCAAGACATTTTGATTCATTTATTGCAAAAATAGCTCCAATTATAATCCAGCAAGTCAACATCTCAATTTATACGACTTTGAAAACTCAATTTAAATATTTATTGTGACAGACAAAGATTAAAAGACGATGATACTTGGGATAATTTTTTCATTTTCGAGAATTTCAATCGGAATGGGGTCAATTTTGATAGCTTTTGATTATTTTGATGCTTCATTTTTAGTAATTCTGATAAAGGATTTTTGAAGATTTGATGGCTGACTTTGAATTGATTGTGAATTTTCAAAGTTTTGAATTTTCATTTAGTTTTAAAAAGTTTTTGATTTTTTTTGAGATTTTTCATACTTTTTCAAATAAAAGAATCATCTATCTATCTGCTAGATTTCCAGTAGAAACTTGCCAAATTTGGTCATTTGAACAAAACAAAACTAATCAGTTTGATCATTTGAGACTCACTTAACGCATTAAAATCAGCTCAAAAAATACGAGATAAGACTATATATTTTTGACTTATTGATAGCGATAATGGTGACTAGTTCCAATTATCAGAGGGAGAAGAAACATGTCCAAAACCGGTAGGGAATAGTCAAAAAATGAACAATGGGTGTGTTGTAATTAGCCCTCTGGCTGCCAGTGGAAACCCGGTTTAGGTTCCTTCTCTTCGTCTGTCAGTTTTCTAATTTGGCGGACAAGCAGGCGGAAATAAATTAGAACTGACGCTATAACTTCCCCCTTTATATCCTTTTACTGCCTAACACCCCCCTATTATGTTGCATGTCATTGCCAATTAATTTTACAACACCTTGACGTAAAGCGGGGCGGATAAATTGAAAATTTTTTAATTTGCCAGTTTCGATTAAATTTCGCTATTTGTAGCGTCACTCATGTGCAATAACATCACTGATCGCTGGTTGAAGCAAAAATTGGATGAAGTTTGGAATACTCTTGGGAATTAGTGAAAAATGGCTGTTTAATGAGCGTGGTCTCAAATTTGTTTTCTATTCCCAGAGCAGAAATCTCAATGAACTTTATGACCTATTCTGTTATTACATTTCATGCCATATCATATGAACATTGGCGAAACATTGAAAATTTGAAAATGAGTCGCGGACCTATACTCGAGATAATAGCCCTAAAAACTTAAAATATGGAAATTTAAGGTACACTAAACCAATTCAAAAAAACTCAATTCGCAATTTCGAGTTGAAATGATTTTTTTGCATGAAAGATGATCGGGTTTGGTTTGTCCCATTAAATGCACTTTGAATAATCAACTTGGTTGGCGTGTTAAAATTATAACCAGAGGTCAAACTATGTTGTGAACTCACTGGAGTAAACGACTCCGTAGAACGCACAGACGTTCACGTGTTGGAACTGGGACATGAGGGCTGCTTCCAGGGCGAACTTGCGCCCATTCTCGGGTGTGACCATGTTTAAGTACAGTGCCTTCACCGCCACACGTGTGTAGTCTCTGGTACCTGGATTCAACAGGGTTCCCCGGAACACGGCGCCCTGCTCCTCTGGAACAAAAAAAAACAGATATTACTAGACAAAAAAAACTTAGTGTACATAAGATGCACCGATTGTTCTTATCGAGGAATGCACGGTTTGTATTTTTTTTAAATCTGAAAATATTATGAAGAAAAATTGACCAATTTAAGAAAAGTTCTCGAACTTCATGTGATCAATTCAACTTTTCACTCGAGTTCGAAACTGATGTTGAAAACGACAGAAATACCGAAAGCGACGAAATTCAAGGTCCTCAAACTACGTCTCTAAGTATTGATTGCCGAAAAAATCGTTCAGATTAGTAAAATTACAGATAATTTCTGGTCGACATTAAAAACCGTCAATTTTTTTCTACTTTTCTCAAAACTTTGAAATCCAAATCAACATACGAAAGAACAAAACAATTTTCCGAGATTTGTTTTCAAGTTCTGGGAAAAATTAAGTGCTCACGTGGTGTTCCCTCGGACGACAACTGCAGGAACTTCTCGTCCAGTTCACATGTCAACTCGGCCAGGACCTGGTCAGTGTCTTCGAAGAAGGAGGGCTCAGTGAACAACTGGTGACCCACCGGCATCTTCTGCTGCTGCTGCTGATGGTGACCTCCAAGGGTCCCAACTCCCCCTAAGGTACCTGAAACAAGAGTGGGTTAAAGTGAGCAAAGGTGTTAAATCCTAGCAAATTTTGCTGAGAGCGTTTATTCACAGGGGAAAGGACCAACTATACTGGAGCTTTTCAGCTGTCAATGAGGAATTCCCATGATTTGCGAGACTGGAAGTTTTGCAAGCTAGGATTTCTATGAATAACTTTTGAAAATAATAAACCAGGTGTTGCCTTCTTCAAAATAAATTTATTCTGAATTATTATGCATATGTGGCAATTTTTGTTAGTCTTTTTTGAAATTACATCTATAATAGTTCAGACCCCTAGCTGTTTGACTGAGGTTGGCAACAGGGACAGATAAAACCGTAGGAGCTATCTTCGTCTTTAATTTGAAATCGACGATGATTATCTTGCAATATGTTTTTTTTTCTGAGCCATTTGAGCTGCTTTTGTTGGCCTCGAACATAATATCGAGCGAAAAACGCTTTGTCAAATTAAAAGCTCATTTTACCATATTTCAACAAAATGTAACCCTAAAATTGTATGCATTAGCGATATAATCAAAATCGAGGGCTTGTTGTCATTTCCAATTATACATTTTGATATTTTACATTAAACATAAAAGAGTTCCTGTGATTGTCCATAAAATACCAAAAATATCTATATTACCATTAGGTTCTAATGACGGTGCAACCCATTTATATAAACAGTCTCTACTATAGAAAGGTAGCTAGAATAAAGTATTAATGTAAATTTGTCACTGCCAGAGTGCTAGCAAGTGTATGAGAATTCATATGAGCAATATAAAATGTTTTCAGTCTCCGATCTGAAAAAAGTCAACGAATTTTCCATTTCTCTTTTCTATTGTTAATGATTGTTCCGTAATTTTAGCTGAAGTTTTTTTTTGTCCAGTTCCGCTGATTTTCCTACTAGAAATACTTTGCTTTCGCTTCTATTTTTTTTGCAAAAGGAACGTTCTTTTTCTGATTTTTGCCCGGCCTACTTGCTTTCTGTGATAAAAATGTTGGCATCGTTAATCGATTTAATTCCACCCTGTGCGTTTTTTTATCCCTACTCATTAAAAAGAAGGTTGAATCAGCGGCAAAGCCATGCATTAATAATCACTTCTAGCCAAATCCATGAATTAATTAAATTCTCAATTTTTGCAGAGAATTTCCGCTAACTTTCCTTTCTCTTTTATTGCTTAAACAGCGACAAAGTACGGCATGATATCATTCTGATTCAATGCTAAAAAAGTGAAATATATCAAATATTGATCTTTTTTGTTTTTATTTTTCTCCTCCGACGCGAAATTACTTTTGTGGGAACTTCGGAAAAAGATTACAAAATATAAGTTGGGAACATGAGCTTGGACTCAATCAAGCAAGTGTTTCGAACAGATAAAAAATTATCTTCTTTTTCAGAACAAAGAAAAAAATGTTACAACTATCGAAATTAACAAAGAAAAAAATGTTACAACTATCGAAATTAATTGGAAAATGATATTGCACTAAAAAAGTGAACATTTTCCCGAGATGCTCTTATTACGCTTGATCAGATTAGTTATAATAAGTTCTTAATGAGGAAATGTCCTATGATCAAATTACAATGAGACCAGTGCTAATTTCCGTTGCGAGCTGTCAATTTTGGCATCTTATGTGAACAAATTTCCTCCGTGGAACCCAAATCCATTTAAAAAAGTGTTTCAAAAGCTTCCTTGTCAACTTCAAGCGTGAAATAAATTGACATTTTTAGACATTTTCTCCGGATTTCAATTAAAATCGAAGTGAGAATTTCAAAAAAAAACACTATAAGCTCTAATACTAGCTTAGATTCCCCAAAATTCGGACTGAAATCTAACGCACGGGTTGCCCAACTTCTATATAATGAGTTAGTGTCCGTTTCCCATAACTTTGCCCAATTTATTCGGAGGCAACTTTTGGGGAAGTTTTGATTTTGGGCACTGTCAGTTAATTATAGTCAGTTGTTTTTCTGGCAGCTTCGATTTGGGTTCAGTTTGGTTAGCAAGGATTTATTTGTAAACAGAAACCGAACGTCCCGCGTGTTGGCCGTTGAGTCGCCGCGGGTTTCGCCGCCCAGTTATTTTCTCAGACTGTTTGAGTTGCCGCACAATCAACCGGGATTGTGGCTTCAAAGGCGACTTAGTTCTGTTCCAAAGTGGGAAAAGCAACAGTTTTCGTTTTGAGAAAAGGGCAATAAGGTAAAGATACAAACTGAGAACCTGTGACTCGAGTCAATCTATATTTGAGTGGGTTGGACTATGCAAGGACAGGGCTTATCACAAGGAACGATCAACGGCCTTTATTTAACTTGGAAGCGGGCCATTTTGGCATGGGCTCATTTTCACTAAATATCCCACTTTAATCCTTACTAAGACTGATTCAAGGTTATCTAAGAGAAAATTACAACAATTTGCAATATAAGAGACAAATTTTAACAAACAAACAAAAAATCTTTTTAAAAACCATTTAGTTCTTTTAGAAAAAATAATGGCAAGGCGCGTTTTATATAGAAAAAAATTCAATGAGACTTTAAGCCAAAATAAAAATGAAAGTATAGAAAAAAAATCACCATTTCCCATGTCGAAGTGGGGGTGATGTGCTGATCCCATATGATGATGTGGGTGATTGACTACAGTGGCCTGTTCGTACTTGTAGCCATAGGGGGGACCATGACCATGACCATGACCATGACTGTTACTCTTCATGGCGGCCATAGTTGATCTGCGCTTGTAGAGCAGGGCCATACCCACGCAGAGGATGATGAATAGCATGCATACTGTGAGCATGATGCCCACCACTAAACCCACGTGACGCATACCCATCTGAACTGCACTCTCTTGAACTGGAAAAAGTACAAAAGTTGACGGGATGGAAATGACCAAAAAAAAAAAGAAAAAGCAAAGACGGATGGAGACGTAGATTATAAACTTTAGGGTTAGTCGTAAACGAATGGATGTAGCAAAAAGGGGGGGCTCCTCTGGTTAGTGAGGGAGTCAACGGAGATGGGGGAGGCGCCCGCTCCTCTAGACCACTACTGAGAATATCCATTTCCGAGTTTTTTTATTAATCAAGTGAGCCAAGAGTTTAAAACATCAATAAAACATGTTTCAAACATGTTTTTGTTTCAAAATAATACCCTTCTGTTTCTATTCAAGTTGACATTCAAAGCATTGACGTTATTTTTCAAAAATCAAAGCATTTTTTTCAATAGATAAAAATAGTGACAGTTAAACTGAAATTTATTTAACTTTGGTTGCGTGCGACCCTCACTTAAATTGTATTTGGAGTCCAGTTTTGGAATTTTGGGATACTTCAAAGAGTTTTGTGTTTAAAGAATATGTGATATAAACAAAAAATATATACAAAAAACTGATATATTATAAAATAAACAACAATATAAGCGGTTGAAGGGTGGCCGCTTTCCACTTTGATGGCCATTGTAATATATTTTTGGCCTTGTAAATCATTTCTACTAAGCTTTAAGAGGTTAATTCAGACATAAAGCACGGATTGGAGAAACAAATACTTTTTGTAAACGCCTTATAACTGATTAATGAAGCTGAAATAACATTTGTGATGACGTACAAAAAACGGGACCTGAAAACAAACCTTGTGTGTTCGATAATTAACGTAATTTTTATCGGAAACTCGTAATATAAACTTCATAAGTCTAAGTAAACTCATTGCAATCATCACAAATGTTAGGAACACGGTATAAAAACTGTGACGTAATAACAGATCAAATTGATGACTCACTCTCTATTCCGACTGCCTCGCTGAAGGGTCCCGCAACCCCGTCTACTTCAGTCCTGACTGAGAATTGATAAGTACCCGGCTGCAGATCTGAACAAACAAAACAGCAAATATTATCAAACTCGCCATTCAACCAAGAGGTCGAGAGTTCGAACCCCATCTTATGAGTTTAGAACTAAATCACCCCAGGAAATTTCACAGTAGTTTCGGAAATAAGTTCTGCATATGTCGAAGATAAATTAATTCGTTTTTTGTTTATCCCGTTTCATGGGATCAGAAATATTATGCTTCTTTACTTCTGTTTCGAATCAGAATTGTGAAAACAGAACTCAATTTGAGAGTACATATGCTAGCCCACCTGCCAGTGTATTTAAATCATATACGTAATAAGTCAGCCTATTAGCCACCAAAGCAAAACTATTTACTTTTTCTTTTCTACTTCTATTTCCCGAATAATCCCAATAAATCACTGTTATAATCTACGCCTTTTGCAAACAATCCTTGAAGGCCAAAATTGCCAGAACTTAGATAAAAAATTTTTATTGAGCGCAAAAGCATCGGAAAAAAAATCATTTCTTGGAAAAAAGTTTTCTTCTAGAATTAGTATTTTCTCAAATATTAGTTATGGTTGTCTCGTGTTGGTTTTTGAGGTTTTTGAGAATTAAAAAACGGTCATTTTTGATGTCAAAAATCGGAACCTACTATTTCCAAACTTTTTGTTCTTCTGAGGGCGTAACAAAAAACATTGTAATCCAGCCAGTGGCCTATTTAAAAAAAAAATTGACTTTCATAAAAATAGGACTCAAAATGGGCTAACATCTGGCTGACAATAACTGAGAGATTGCTATAAAAAGATTAAAACTGTTCTGATTTTAACATGAATGAAAAGAGCTCAAAGCTGGTGGCTGAATTATATGACCCAAAGACCGCGTCTTTAAAAAAAGTTCAAAGTTTATTCAAATCTCCATTTTTTAAAATCATGAACATAAGTCCGGCTTAAGCTTTTTGTTTCTGAAAAAAAAACACTCAGTACTTGAATTGGGTAAAATATCCATTCATTGCAAATAATCTTAGAAGTTTTCTTTTCTGCTTGAGTTGATTCTGAAATACATTGTTTGCAAAATAGCTCTTGATAATTTCACGCTCAGTGCACTCTATGCTGGAAACATTTTTTTATCAATATCTCCTCCAAATAAGTTTCCTTTGTTCATTGTGAAAATGGAGACGGAGAGAAACTCCTTGGCGGCTGCAAGCAAAAAACAAGGAGAGTATAAAATATTCCTCTTGAAACACCACCCGGCTATCAAGTCTATTATGTTCCAATCAATGCAAAAGTCCTGAGCTGCTCTCAGCAAAAATAAGTCTGCTTTTAAGACAAAACAAAAAAGAAACTTAGTTTTAGAAAAAAGATCCTTCTTTAATAAACAAGAGAATAAGTATTTTACTTGAAAGAGCCAACGGTCTTTTACAGAAGAAGTTTTGTAAAATACAAAGATTTTTGCGTACAACTATTTTTGAAGTGTATAGTGCTTTGATTCCTAGAATAAATGATTTTTAATTACAAAAACGGCCGATTTCATAAAAAAACAATAGCCAGTGACTGAGCATGTAGCACAAAATGTTTTGAGCACACAGATTTAAGCAAAAAAAAATCAAAATTAAGGAAATTTTTTTTTTTAAATATATAGAAAATATATCTTAGTTTTTTCTAGATTTTCATACTTTTTATTAAAGTGTAGCTTAATAAAACAACACCCGCTAATTATGTCGAAGCACTGAGTGTTCCGAAAGCATTTTATGTTTTATAGAGTAATTGCAATAAAAATAGGTGATGAAAATTTCAAAAAAAAAAGTTTTTTTTTTGAAAATCATACACGCTCTGCGAAGCAGGAAGTGATACATTTTGCATATGGAAAAGTGTTTAATAAACAAAAAGGCATTCCTCAATTTAATTTGGAACATTTTCTAGGACGGAAAAAAATCCGCCTCCGCATTATTAGCACGAAATGTATCTCGCGTAAATTGTCCCAAATTGGCCAAACTGGCTATATTTAAACCCCCATTACTCTGCCAAAAATGATCACAGGTACAAAATAAATTTTAAATTTGAGCTTAATACAACAAAAAATTTTTTTGCATAATAAAAAAAGTTCTCTTTTTGCATAATAAAAACCCGAGCACAAATATTTTGTCAATTTCTTCGAAAAATCGGAACAAAAACATTTTGTAACTCCATCGTTCATCAAACTTTTTAGCATTGGTACTTAAAATAACAGAATTGCTCATATAAAGACAAAGCCTTGAATGTTCCGAATGTTTTTCAAGGTCTGTGAAGCAGTATTCATCTTTAAAAAATTGATGAATTTTTCAAAAAAAAAAAAATTTTGAGTTTTTTAAAATCATCCCCCACACGCCATATAAAGTTTAAAGTGATAAATTTTGCTCCTACTAACATAAAAATTTTGGCAAGTAGCCTGTTTCAACCAGATTCGAACAGTTTTCCCAAGGGATTAATTCTCCGCTTACGCGTTTGCAGCGCGAAAAATATCGCGCGTTGATTGTCTCAAATTGGCCATATTTGCAATCTTTAAACCTTCATAACTTTATGAAAAATTGTCACAGGTAAAATATCTTTTTAAATTCAAGCTCAAGACAACAAAAACTTTTAGCTGATATAAAATGGGAATATCTATGGAAGATCAGCCTATCAAATTTCATTTAATTTTCTCTGAGAACAAAAAATGCAGACCAATTTTTCTCAACACTGAGTCATTTTTTTGAGTCACCTGAGTCATCACAGCCACTAGAGCTTTAATTTGATACCACATTTGACACCCTTACGAGGCTTCTCTGAGGTAATTAAAACTGGGAAGCTAAAAACACACCCTACGCCATAGTTTCTTCCCTTCATTTCGTGAAGTGCTCAGAGCAATTCTCAAAGCCCACCATCATTGATGCAATTTTGGCGCACTGAACAACATCATTCATAAAAGCCCTCGTAACTAATTCGAAACATCTGCTTGGCAATTTAATGGATTCCAGCAATGGCTGATTGTTTAGAAAAAATGACCAAAGTCTTGAAGGGAATGTTTAGAAAGCCGTTTCAGTGCAATTGGCTAAGTTAACAACTTGTGTACATTTTGTTTGTTTGAAGTTTGCCGTACTCAAAAACATTCGCTCGTGCATGTAACCCAAAAGGAAAGAGACTTCAAAGAAGTTTGGGCGAGAAATGAGACCAATCAAGTAAACTTACTTCAATTTCAACCTGGTAAACAGACAGTAAATTTTCCCATAAATTAATCCCTCCGCCCCCCCCCCCCCGAATTGTTGATACGACATTGCATTCAAATGAGTTGGATAATTTCACTCGAGCCATTAAACATGAGGGTTATTGCGAGGTAAATTTGATTAGGGAGCTTTTATGGTGTCACAAAGGCTATATTAGTGGGCTTTGTTTCTATAAAGAAGTGTTTTGAGTCCGTTACGGAATCAGAATTTTATCTTTACGATGATCATTAAGACAGTGAGAGAAGTATATGACACTTTCAGTACTTACAAGTCAATTTTCGTCCTATAAAAGGATATGATGATATGTGCGCTAGAAAACTTGATGACTAATGCATCTTGAGGTAAAAAAAAAACAAATACCAATTTCATAAAAATTAAATGGTTTTTCTGAAACTTCCTCGCTTTGGTTTAATTTTGTTTAATTTTGGAGTCAAAAATGTCTTTTAATTATTTTGAATAAAATCCTCAATTAATTTATTCAGGTTAAAAAAGTAAAATTTCAAGATTTCAAGTTTTCAGCGCTCAGAAGGTAATAAAACCGCCTAGAGTTTTCAGCCTCGTCGAAATTTAATTTTTGAACCATCTTAGATTTTTTATATAATGATTTTTTGGCGTTTTGGGTGTATGTATAAAAGAAAAAAAAATAGAATAAAACTTGAGCAATTTGGAAAAATAAATACGAACGAAGGAAATTTATTTGAAAACTCTAAAATTTAATGATCTGTTTTTTATGCAACCTGAAAGACTAACCATGCGGTTAATTCTTTCAGCTTATCTAAACTAGTCGCTGGCCTTGAACAAAAAACCTTGCACAGGCTTGCGTACGCTGTATGGCTAAGGTGCTATTGAATTGTTGAATTTAATCTTTTCTCCAATTATAAAAGTGTGATCAACTCACGAGACAGAATAATCTCCGGGTGTTGCGAGGAGTGATTTGTACATGACACATCATACTTCATCCCCCTTGTCTCTTCGCCCTTGGAGGAAGAGGAGGGGGAGGCAGGGGAGAGGGCGAAGGTGTTGGGGAAGTGACGGCGGGATATGCGGATGCAGTACCTGTTGCCAGGGTACCCGCGTGGTCTCTCCCATTCCAATTTGATCTCGCTACTGGTAATCTCACTCACTCCTATTCCTCGTACCACGTCTGAAATGAAACATCAGAGAACTCAGAGAACATGTCATCAAGGGGATCCATAGAACATGTCATCGAGGGGATCCACAGAACATGTGATCGACAATGATGTCAACGTGTACAAAGTTATACATCATTGCCCAAAATGTAATGTTTTTTTTTATATGTACCTTTCTCTAAATATATTTTGGGTAGCCTTTGGTTTAAAAAAATATACGAATTGAGTGAAAGTTTTTCTTGCCAACAAATGAATAAAAAAGTTAGAGTTTGAGAAAGAACCTTTGTGCGATTTTCGTATGAATTTGTTGTCGCATAGTGTTTTATAGTGTATGGAATCAAATGTGATATAAGTAAGGGCAGTGGGCAAAATAACTTACACGATTTCGCAGTTCTGAACTCTGTTTCGTCAAATCTGAGAGCCTCGAAGGGGTAGAAGCCAGACAGACTGTTCTGCGAGTAGACTCTGAACTTATACAGAGTATCTGGTTCCACTGGAATAGCAATCTGGGTATAGTTGGTCACAAAGGGCTCTTGTTGAACACATCCGATGACACACACTATCTTGTAATTGACCTTTGACCGGTGTCCAAAGTCCAGGGGTGCGGACCATATCAGTTTAGTAGTCTGACCATCCATGCCGGTGGCGGAAACTTTGAGGTTTCTAAAACAACTTGGATTCTTGTATTGTTCATAAATCAAATTAGACTAATGAAAGTGTCAAGATTATGAAAGGGATTTGTAACGCGATACAATCGCGATTTGTAACGCGGGTCAAATTATAATAACGTCAATTCTGCTCAGTTTTCGATTACATCTAATTCTGAATATCCAGAAATTTGAAACTTACTTGCAACGATGCAATAACTAGATAAATCAGTAAAATTTAATCGAAAAAGAAAACTGCATTTTGTATGCAGATAAGTTCCACATCGCAAAGTTAACGTGCTCGTTGCTTGATGATTCACAAAAATTACCAAAAAAATGCATGTAGCTCTTAATCAGGCCAAAACAGTGGTTCTCCGTTAAGAGCTGTATGCGGGGCTTGCTCTTAGCAATTTGAATGGTCTTAAATTAAATTACTGGCCTTGGTTTTGAGGGCGTGGATCCACAGGAGAGACTGGGGGACTCGTCTGGGTTTCGGTAGTATCCGGAACTGCAGCCACACTTGTCAGCCCCTGTGCTCCTCGAGTCACTGTTAGCCGGGCACGAAGTACACTGTCGGTTGGACAGACCACTTTTAAATTGTCCCGGCTTACAGGCTGCAAAATGAGCAAAAAAAATTGAAAAGGAGTTATTTCATCTTGACAGTGAACTGAAAAAAAAAATGCTATCAAGAATCATGTGAGATGAAAATTTACAAAAATCAGATTTTCGTCTTTTTAGCGTTGTTTTGAAACAAAAAATTTTAAATCGAAATAACCTCCATTTTTGACAATTAATATATTTGTCTCTCTGAAGCAAATCGTCAACCAACCAAGAGAACTTAATAAAACTCATTCATGAAACAATGAAAAATGACTTTTGATATAGTTTTCAGATTTGAAAACTGCTTTATTTCAAAACTGCTTTATTTATAACTGACATACCTGTGCATGCTTCCATATCCACAGTAGGTTCGAATCCCGCCAGGCACTGACAAGCAGGCGCATCATTCATCCACACACCGGCACTGGAACAGTCTTGGCTGCTCGCATACTTCATTCCTACGGGTAGCCCCGCATTTAGCACACACTGGCCGAAAACTGTCTGCATCGACCCTGGTGATGTGTTCGTTACGAACGTGACCGGAAAGCGGGCTAGATTTTTGGTCGTCTCGGGGCAAATTGGGTGAATGAGTTGAACGGACGCGACCTTGACGCAAAACCTACCCGCGCTCATTCCTAGTTTAAACTTGGAAGTTTTAGGGGTGTTGGGAAGTTGTTGCATTTGAACTCTGTAAGTGGGTGGGGATTGTGAGCTAGGGTTGAAGTAGTGATGGTCTCTAAGGGTGACATTGAAATCCGATCTTTGTTTATCTTCGTCCGAGGTCAAGGTTATCCGAAGCGGCTCATTCACACAACTAGAATCGCCAGGTTTATCGCACCAGAACACATACCTAGAAAAAGAGAACAAAAATAAATGCGAGGAAAACAATATTTAACTGACAAGAACATTTTTCAAGGTGAAATATTGATCTATTTTACATTATCATCATCAACAGATAGTTTATGCTACCTTTCTCACATTCAAAGGTTTCAGTAGGAAAAAATTTTTTCTAACCACGAAATAATTTCATAAATGTTCTAATAGTTTTCATTCTGTCGAGATCGTGCACTTTTTCAGCTTTTAACCAGGCTAAAAAGTTATTCATCCCTTATTGAAAAGCGCCGTTAGTTAGAATACTAGGTTCAATTTTAGAGTATTTTAACCCCTTTTTATAGAAAGGGTACTTTTAAAGGCTCTTAGAACCTACTCGAATTGCAGGGCTTGAGAATATTTATTCTTTTGATTCAATAGAAGAATTTTTTTGACTAATTCAATTTTTGATTGAACAGAGAGCTCGCGGCCAGAATTTGATTAATGTTATTTAAAGGTTCTCTTTTGGAATTATAAATGACGGTAGTTTATTACCCGTGCTTTGTCTCTCGCGCCATAACTGGCAGCCATTTGAATAATTTTTCTGCTTCTTGTCTCTTTTATCTCGCCATAATGCAAAAACAAAGCAGCCTCTACTAATATATCTGTTCAGTATCAGATTATGATGATTTTTATTAGGTCATTAGGCGCTGGATCCTTAACAGGCATACACTTGACATACTCATGTTACATTTTAAAAGGCTACTATTCAGGGGCGGATCTAGGATTAGGACTTTCGAGAGAGAGAGAGAGAGAGAGGGTAATTTTCAAAAACTTTTTGAAAAATTGACGACCTTTTTTTGCTTGGTTGAATTAATTTTCCGAGCTCTCACAAAAAACTAAAAAGACCCTGTTTTGGCCAAACTTTCTGCGCCGCAGGCAAAATATTGAAAAAAAACAGGCAAAAAAGGCGTTTTAGGCACTTTTTTTGTGAAATTTTGACCAAAAATAGCGTTTTTTTGTCGCCTGCTCCCCTTCATAGTTATCTTATATTGGCGTATTTAGAAAAGTTTAGGGTTGTTTGATCTAAAATGGATGTCAAAAAGTGATACCAAAGGGAAGACCCTTTGGTTGGTGAGGGGTTCGAATCCCTAAAAAAATGATAGACCCCCCCCCCCCTAAACCCGCCCCTGCTATGCTACTATTGCCACTTTTAATGGCCATAATTAGTTCAGAAAACCATTGTTTCTGTCTATACACGCAAGCTTTGATGACTGTATAAAACCACCTTTGGTAACTTTATGCACAACTCTTTTGAATTTTGCAAGTTTGCAGTGATCTCTTTGATTCAATAATTGAATTGGGTAAAATAGCCCGCAAAATCAGTTCATTCAGAAACGTAAAACCTAAATTGTGAACTCTAGAATACTTTAACAAAATGGTACTGTCAAGTAAAATTGTCCCGAATAAGATAAAGTTTTTAAAATTTTCAAAACATTTTTCAGGAATTTTTGGTTCGGAGAGACATCCGTGTTATTGGTTTGTTTTTACGACTAAAATCAACTGGGTTTCAATTTTTGTTCTTGTTTTTGTTTTGGGCATTTTTTTAAATTCTCTAATATCAGTCCACTTACGATATCTTCAGGAACAGTTTGAGATTTTCGTGAGAGACACTTGTGAGCCAGTCGGTCAAAATCCAATCCTGAGACGCAGAAGAAGAGGATGAGTCACTACCAGTGCCTCCCCCTCCATTGCCCACATCACAATTCTCCCACACAAAAGAGTCCCCCTCTTGCTTGAACTTCCACTGCAACAGAAAAACAGAACCGACTTGCAAAAAAGATCAGCAGCTGAAAGCTTCAAAAAAGTTTCAGGAAACATTTTTGAAAAAAGTATTCAAGATGGCAATTGGTCGTTTTAAGCTTACGTCTGAAGTTGTCGGGAACTCTGGCTGCAGGCGAGACAGTTCTTGGTCTTCCAAGTTTGCCAGGAAATCTAAAACAAGAAAAAGATGCAAACATACTACTTTCAAATGATTCTACTTCAGCAAATCAAATTACGCATAAAAAATCTTCATGAAATCATAAAAACCACTCTTCCGGAAACGCTTTTTTTCTCTTTCTTTTGAAATTTTTTCATGTTTTGTTAATTGTGATAGAATAACACTTCTAATTCATTCATGTGGGAACTCAAAGAGCTGAGCGGATTGTTCAAAGACAAAAGTGGACTGATATGTTGGATGAAGCTGCACTGCTCAGCCATCATATTTTTGTAACTACAAAGAACCTTGGAACTATCCATGATATACAAAATTGTTTTTTTTTTCAAACAGGTTTTGAAAATTGAATTTAAACATCTTTACGGCATCGTCTAGTTATTAAAAATGAGTCGACCGCTTTTTTTCATTTAATTTTTTGTCACCTTATTGTGAATCAATTTAAAATGCATTAATAAGAGATCAGTAATAGTTAACTCCTGACAAGTACACAAAAAAGAAACTTGAAGCAATATTGAAACGCTAAGTTGCTTGATCTGATTACTGACTGGTACTGAATGGTTTGAGTATCATATCTTGCTGTGGTGCCTTTTCGGTTTTGTCAAATATTTAGAAGTTTTAAGCATGAAAACGTTCATCTGTAGTTCTGCGAGCAATTCATCATGGTCAGATTTTGTAATACTTCGTGGTACATAATTACATTCTCGACCAAAGACGAACTTTTAAGTCCCCCAGGTGGCAAAAAATTATTTGAACTAAAATAAAATGGTATAATTTTCTCACTATGCTATATCCGCCCCATGACATTTACTTTCAAAAATATCATGTTTCTCCACTTTTATTTATGTATTCTAAAATAAAACTTAGAAGTCAATGCAAATATATATATAAACAGGAGCGGATCTAGGGTTTTCTCGAAGGGGAAGCGGATTATCAAAAAAAAAATCGAAAATATTGTCGACGTTTTTCTAGGTCGACCAAATTGATTTTCCGAGCTCTTCCAAAGCATTTAATAGACCCTGCTTAGGCCAATTTTTTATACATTAAATACTGCAGATTCTTGGTGTTAAAACCGACAAAAATTTATTTAAAAACAATCTTCGGCGGAGCGCATTTAAAAATTTTGGAGCAGCACTTTCTGTTGAAAAGTAAGGTTAGATTCATGAATTGCTTATATTACTTTGAATAGAGCTATACCTCGAAAGAATTCAATTTTTGTAACATTGTCTCTCTGATTTTCGGAACATCTTGAAAATATACGAAATGAAGTTTTTTGTTTTGTTTTTTTGAACAAAAGCTTGATTGTATCACATGAAATCTGAACAAAGGTTCTTTAGTTCTCCAATTATTCAGCACATGTTTTTAAATCTATTCAAATAAATTCAAATTTGCATATCAAGCGATTCCGCTTTGTTTAGAGAACAACATATTGAACGCAAGTTTCGATATTTACGATGGATTCCCCACTGATGGCAAAATATGTTACCAAACTTATCACAGCAAGTCAGCAAAACTAACTGCCAACTATTTTCAGCCGAGCTCTGTAGGAACAATAACTACTTTCAAATTGATTTTTAAAACGATACTGATGAACCATACTCCTAGACTCTTTATCGGGTTTTGATAGAGAGAGAGAGAGAGAGAGAGAGAGAGCTCGGAAAATAAAGTAGCTCGACCTAAATACATGTCTGAATGTAATTTAAAGTTTAAAGTCTCAGTCTTAACTGGAAGTTTGGAAGTTTAATTGTGTAAATGTGGTTTTTTTTTGGCCTTCGCTTGATTTAATGATGACTAATCGTCATTTAAAAAAAATATTTTCAATACGGCGTTGTACTGATTTGAGAAAAAGCTTGTTTCTGATAAATGAGAAAATAAATTTCATAAGTTTGAATTGACGGCTCGCATCATACAGTGACAAAAAAGGTGGCGCCTCGTCTTGCATAAATCTGGAACAGCAACAAAAAGTTAAGACCAAACAATACCGACTACTCAGACAAACAAGGGTAGCCGGTTACTGTGCAAGTAGCACAGAATGTTCCAACCATAGTTTTAAAACATACAACCAACATTTTTTTTCTAATTATGTGTCGTGAAAGAAAAGCTAAAGATTAGGCAGAATCGACAGTCATAATAAAATAAGCTAATTGAAAAACAATTTTGTTGTAGAAAAGTTACTAGAAAATCAAAACGAAATTTAAAAAAGATCAAAATTTTTTTCCATTTTTTTAAACAGTTTTATGAATTTTTCAAGTTTTTAATACCAAAAAGGCGCTAAAGCACCCAAAAAATTATTATTTCTCGAGTAAAATCATGTTTTTACATTTTAAATGAAGCTGTTGTAAGCTTTTAAGAAAATCAAATAAACTATTGTAAGCCTGCTCGCTCGCTTTATTCGCTCGAATTAGGACGAAAAACCAAAAGCTTCAAACCAATTTTTTTCTCGACACTGGGAATTTGTTTGAAGTTTTTAAACATCGTTCGAATTATGACTTTTAGGGTTTTAGTTTGATATGCCACTCGACCCCTATTCCGATGATTATTTGCTTTACCTGATTATGCGTGCAAAAAAAAACACACTCGAACACAAAGTTCTTCCCAATTTTCAATGGTCGGAACAAATATACAAAGAAATTATAATTTGACATTTATCAGAATTGAACTTAGAAAAATAGTGTAATTCATGGGCTTTAAATTGATATATCACTCAACTCTCTAATGATTTTTTGTGCTTGCTGATTTTGTGTGGTAAAAAAAGACCCGAAGTTCATCCCCATTTTCCTCCCCAATACAAGGTTCCTTCCCATTTTGTAAAAGGTCGGAACAACAATAAATAATTTTTTGAGTTTTGAAAACCATACTCCTAGACGCAAGTAAAGTACTAAGTGATATAATTCGCTCATTGCGAAGTATTGAATAGAACAAACAGCATGCCTCTGTTCCCTTTTTTCTATCATCTTTGCCTCTATCATTTGCCTCTATCATCTTTTTCGTCTGGTAATCCTACCAATCGCCACTAGCTTGATTTATCATTGTTGTAATTAGGGCAATTTCTAGTCTCATAAAAAAGTTTTTTGAACAGCAAAGATCTTTGCTCTTAATATGGGACGCAAGTTTGATCTTCATTCAGTTTTTTTAGAGCAATAACGAAAATGGATTTTGGCAATTTTTTTCAGCGAATTAAGATTGCCAAAAAATACACGTAGACAATAAATATAAAACTAAATTCTGAGTTTTGTTTGCAAATTATTAGGTACAAAATAAAAAAAATAGAGCAGAGACATGATCGACAAAAAGCAAAGTTTAGCTTTTTGTGCAAACAAAAATTTTTAGACGAGGTTTCTGCCTCCAAATATAAGTTAAGTGTATGTTGATTCCTGCACGGCATAAACTTTAACCGGATATCGGTTTTGTGAGTATTTTTGTGCTTTTAGTAGTATTTTCTCCAGAGCTGGTTCTTCCTCCATCGACATTCTAATTAGTAAGTTTTGGTAAAATTTTTGAAAGCGTGAAAACCATTGATACACTGAGCTCAAAACTGACAGATGTTTCACTTGCATTAACTTTTGTTAGAGCGTGTATTAATTCAATTGCGCGAAAATCCCACTTTTTCTTTCAATACGTAGCAACCTCAGCGCAATAATCAGGCCACTGAAGCTAGCTAATTGCTCAAAAGGTTGAGCCAAAAGACAATTGTTTCTAAATAAATTTTTATATGTTGTTACTTTTAAAAAAATTGTCAAACTAAAACAAAAAAAGCGGGTCAGTGTGCAAGTATCGCAGAAAGTTCGGACCATAGTCTGTAAAAAGCTACAAAGTTTTTTTTCCAATTAGTGTAGTTTTTTGTGCGTGGTGTGATAAAAGGATTTGCCGCAAATTTATTGTCATATTAGACTAGCATACTAATACAGGCAGATTAGGCAAGTTTCTTTGATAGAAAAAAAACGAGAAAAAAATCGAAAAAAAAAATCAAATTTTCAAATTTTTTTTCCACATTTTTTGCTCTAAAATGGCTCTAAAAAACTCCAAAAACCAATTCAATTTGCTAATATCTAAGATTTCAGGACTTAAATTTAGCATATTCAAGCTAAGGCTGCTCGCTCGCTTTATTAGCTCAAAACTGAATTAAAAATCAAAAATTTTAAACCAATTTTTCTCGATAAGGAGAAAAATTCTTGAAGATTTTTTAATGTCTTTCAAATTACAATTGCAAGGGTTTCAGTTTGGTCTACCACTCGTTCCGTTCCGATCATCATTTCTGCTTGCTTAAAAACAAAAAACAACTAAAACAAACCCGAACACAATGTTCTTCCACATTTCTCAATTTGCCGGAACAAAAAAAAAACAATTTTTTAGATGTACCTTTTTTCACCAAAAACTGCTTTAAACACGTTGAACTTCAGTCGGAACTTTCAGGGTTTGGCTTTGATACGAGTAGTCTTGTCTATTATGGTTAACTTGAAAGGATGACCAGCAAAGCGATATTTCTATTTGGAGGAAACTGTTCAAGCGTTGCTATAGATAGATAATAGAGGACAATTTATTGGAAAACAATCTGCCGATCAAAGTTTACTGGGGTATGTCTAAATGACATATGTCTTGTTTTTTTTCTTTTTTTTTGTGTCGATCAATGTAAAAGGTCATATTTGTTAGATTTTTCTTCAAACTATTTCTTCGCATTTAAAAAAAAATAAAATGAACTTTGATAGCTAAACTTACAGCTCACATATTTTCTTTAGATTTTTAGTCGAAGTTACCAAAAAAAATAGTTCAAGTCCAGCATTTGGTTCTAAAACAAACTGAAACAATTGAAGCAAAATCAAGTGGGCATCGGAAGAATATTCACGCGGTATACAGAAGAGCACAGTTTCAAATTAAATGCTCTAAGCTTTTCATGATTAAGTTTTCCTATTTTTCTCTGTTTATTTTTGATGACATAATTTAAAATGGAGACTGACATGTTTGATGTGTATTAAATATTAAAACGATTTAATTAATTTAAATGTTTTAAAACAAAAAACATGATTATCAAAATTCTTTTCAAAAACTAAGACTTACATTGATCAGAGCTGGCGAAATTGAGAAAAGCGAAAAACAAAATAAAGATAACTTTGGAAAAATATAATAACTTGTGACCCAAATTGAACATTTTGGGTTGAAATTTAACGCACTTTCAACCTTTTGAAGTCAATCACTAAAAACAAAATTATTCAAAATTAGAACTGGATCAAACTGCTTTTTGATTCAAAAGAGCGTCCAAACAGATCAATAACAGGATTGCCTGGCAGGCGAATGAGACTTGAGATAATAATATAGTAGGAACCACATTCAAACAATGCCCAAGGGTTGATAAATGCTAATTTGGCATAAGGGTTCAATTTTCGAATTAGTTTGCTATTATTTCTAAACTTCTGTTTACTGAGGCTCCACTCATGAGGAAGTAAAGACAGATTAGAAGGATAAAATCCTATTTTTATTTCTTACAACTGGATGTTTTGTTTCGTTATTCGTCTGAGGGAAGGCAGATCTAGTAAACTTGGGGAAACTTGAAGCCAAAACTTAAATTTGATCCGCTTTTGTCTGGATAAGTTACTGCAGGTATCGCTAGGTTTCTAAGTCCGGCTGTTTTGAAATGTTATAACCAGTTCATAAATTTTAAGATTCTTGTAGGATTGGAATAATTGAAGAATTGAGAAGGCGAGGATAATTTTCGAAATGCAACAACTGAAATTTTGTGACAATCGAAACAAACAAACAGTAGCTTTCGACGTTTATGGCTATTTTCGACTGGCTATTTTTGACGTTTGGAGCTTGGACGGATCTTCTGGACGGGTAATAAATATTATTAGCTGGACTCAAGCTGGACTTAAATTCCAAGTTTGAACAAGGTTTCGAAAATAGTTGTTAGTGGTTTTGGGTCCCGATAATATCCGGAAATCAGGCGCCGCTGGAGTGCTAGGGTAGATTACGGAGGTGATTTATTCAATGGGTGCTTCTCAACGATTAGTAAATGAAAAGCAGCCGCGTAATGGTTGGTGATTTTGAAGAGTAAAAGTATCTACTGTTTGATTACTTTATTTGAAGAGAGTATCTTTGCTAGTCGACCGGCGAACAAAGACAGCCTTTGGTTATATACTTCTATCAGTTTTTATTCTAGCTGCGATAAACTCACACACCACCGGCGGATTTAAATTAAATCAAACACTGTGATTGGCTTAAAAAAATTGGACATAAATGTGGTTTTTTTTTGGACAAAAGGAGCACTTTTTTCTGCTTTTAATATGATATTCTAGTTTTGATTAATATGAGGGGTGGATTTAAGGGGCGAGGGCGTTCTTTTCCTTCGGGAATTTGAACCCCCTTTGCCAAAAGTATGCCCTGCTCTGTAATTAAAATCATCTATTTTAAAATATATGGGTGAAAAGTATGGCCATCCTATTATAATATGCAGTTTTAGCTAACCGGTCCTTAAGTTTTTTCTGCCCTTGGGCCCCCATATAGGTAATTTTGAAAAAGGAGCGCTCAAAAAACGCAATTTTTTGGCCAAAAATTTCTAAAAATGCCCTTAAACGTCGTTCTTGCCCGTTTTTTTTTAAAAAATTGCTTGTGGTACCAAAATCCGCCCTCTTCGAAATGTTTTTTTTTTTAGAAAATCCGCCTTCCTCTTTCGGAAATATCTCGAAAAGGGGAGAAGGGCTCAAAATTTTCCATAAAAAATTTGAAAATTTATTACAACAGGTGTGGGAAGGGTAAAAATGCTCATCAAATCGCTTCAAAATTTTCACCTGACGGTAAACGGGCAAGAAATTTGGGCAATCAATATATTGACAAAAATTGAATGAATTTTACTTTTCGCTACTATGTATAATTAGGAATCTAAAGCAATTTTGTTATGCTCGAGTCGATTGAAAAAAAGACGAAAGTATGATCTCAAAAACTGGGCGTTTCCGAAGTGTAAGAGGTCTTAAAGTGGTCTGAAAGTAGCACAAAAACAACGGTTCAGTCAGCTTTGATTAGTAGCATGAACAGATTAGTTGTTAAGTGAGACATGATAAGTTCTGGAGCCTTCGGCTCAGTCTAACTTTGACTAGAGGAGAGGCGGTCCACCTAGCATAAATCATTAGCTACACGTGTGGTTAAGTGTAGAGATGATCTAAGTTGAGTCTACATGTAATTAGAAATGGTAGTTTTTTGCGCAGTTTGAAAACGTGAATCGATAAAGGTAACGAACTGGTTTTTTTTTGAAATGATTGGTTGCTTTTTATCTAGAGAACCTTGTTTACTTTGCCCCACGACGGATTAGAACGAAGTGGGACGGGACGGTTATAAAAATTTTCGAAGGATAGGACATTTTCAAAAAATTTATATATATTTTTTTTAAAATTGGTTTACTAAATTTATTGTCTAAGCCTCTTTCACCTCTAAATAAATTGTGGTGGGGGCAAGCAAGTGTCTGTATAAAAAACTTAATTTCTTTTAAAAGTATCCAACTTCAATGATACCAATAACCCAATTTATCCTAGCGGCGGGAGAAACAAGATGAATGAAGGACTATTGCGAACTTTCTGAGACCCCGGGAACTTGTCGTATTTATACATTTCATATGATGACTAGTTTTGAGTTAGTTGAGTTTATTGAGTTTGTTTGTTGGCGTAACATTCGCCCAGATATTACACAGTGACGGAGCGTAGAAAAAGTACCTATTGATGACTGGCTGACGTCAGTTAACTTAATCCTACTCGTTTTTAACCGTCTTGACCTAACCAGTTGTTTTTCTGGTCTGTTAAGAGCTCAGTTCTATGTTACCCTTTTTAGATCAGCCAAACGATTTTTGATCAGCTTTCGTTTACATGCGAAAATAACCACATAGCTGGTTCTCGGATCCCCAGACAACGTGATTACTATTAAAACCACGGCTAGAAAACCACAATTAAAAGTATTTTAGTGACAGTTATATACTAAATCCATTAGAGATGGATTGACGCTTTCCTCGACTATAATTTCTCATGCTCTGAAAAACTTAATATCAGAGTAAATAAATACGTTCAGGGCATAACAGCAGCTAAAATATATCGTTAATACCGTTTTTCGCATTTTTCTGAGCTTCGCGCACGTATCCCCTTAAAATTAGAAACCATTGTCGCTAAATTCATGGTCTTTACTGGATTTTCCATCTTTCGAAAAAAAAACGATTGAATATTGTTATGCCTGGCTAAAACAGTCACAGTTAGGTGTCAGTGAAATTAGATCTACACCACCAAAAATTCTTACAGCTATCAATGGTGAACATCACGTGATAATTTTTGAAAAATAAAGTGGTCATTTTGGTAGAATCAATCGTTTCCCACAAGTATTATTACGAATTAATTGTTTCCTTATGTTTTTCAAATAGTGAGTTTTGGAAGCAGTCTTAGACGAAACCACATGACGCGGCCGGCAGCTCGATCAGGAGAACAATCAGATCTATTGAGCGGACTGCCGTTCTGGGCAATTTCATCATTCGATCCGCTTTTGAGTGGGAAGCGTGAATCGGTCAAACCTTCTTTGCAGTCAGATACCGAGAAGTGCGCTTCGAACTTATTTCCTGCAACGCCAAAAACGACTTTCAATGATCCACCCCAAAAGCAGGTTAAAATATAGACAAGTATGAGAAGGCTCCTGTCGCAATGACGGAATATAACCGCTTTCTGGCTGACCTGGCCACGGCAATGCAGAATTGGAAGCAACAGAGGAAGCTAATTTACCCACTCAGAAGACACAGCAGCTCTCAGGTCGCTCACGAGCAGATGCCCGACTTTAACATCGAATATGCGCTCAGAAACTCAAAATTCAAAATCACAAGAAATCATAAGATCGCGTATACCGCAAAACTTATGATAAAGTCTGGGGCGCCTTATAATGAGTAATTCATGGATAAAATTATCACAATCCTCGCTAAACTTTATCTTAGTGAAAAAGGAAAAATTATCAGACAGATCAAAGTTCTATGAAAAATATTAATCGTAACTGTGAGCTTTTACGCCGGCTTTAACAACCCAAAACAATTCAAAGAGCTGTCACAAAACGAGAGGCAAGGCAGCGCGCTCATAAAAAAGCTGAGAATAATTTTAACTCAGCCGGACTGATCTCCAGTGACCTCAGTTTCGGCAAAAAAGTAGAAAATGCTCATCACTGGTCAAGGCTAAAACTTTGTACTGGAACCAGATGCGGGAAGCACAAATCCACCCGAGTGCGAACATTTGGCACAGCACCAGTGTTGATGCTAAGGGAAGTTTCGGAAATCCCGGTCCCGAACTAGTGGCACAAAGAAGCGAGAGCTCAGAAACTTTGTCAGCTCAGGGCCCGAGCACGGCTCAAGAACAATTATTTTCGTAAAGTCGAACTCATACGCAGATGCGGCAAAACTACCACCAGCAGCCACGCCGACATCGAACCCAACAAGGAGGAGGAGGAATAGTAGAGTTCCGAGAGCAAGACCCAAAAACCCAGACAGCGACGACACTGCTCGGCGTAGCATCAGAAGATGACGCCTGACCTGCGATCTCATCAGAATTGTTGACATCGACTTCAGAAAGGGCGAGGTAACACAAGAAGCTCTTAAAAACTCCCCTCAAACCTTTTGTCAAAAAAATCTTCGAAAAGGGATTAATCCTGATATTCCCGCAGTTAATGAAAGTTTCGTCACAGGAGATGTTGTCGTGATCGCTGTCTCCTAAAAAACCAGAAGTCCACAATCTGGCACGCTAAAACCGAAACAAAGGCTTAACTGAAACTTTTAACCTGTTGAGTGCTTGTCCTTTAAAGTCTGCGAACAACATTTTTGTGGGTCGGGAGTTGTGCTTCCAGGCCGAAACACTCTCAGTTAAGTGTCAAGGTAAATAGAATAAAAGCGACCATTTACTCAAGCACCTTTGAGCGGTCAAGTCAATTATCGACCAAAATGCTATTTTGCATATAGCAACAATCCCAGATTCGTTTAGAAGGAGTTTTAGGCGGTACCACATGGCGCAGCCAGTAACATGGCGCAGCCAGAAGAACAGATCGAATGAGTGTTATAACGTTCAGGTAAAAACTATAATCTGATCCGTCTTTTTCATGGGAAGCGTGGATCGGTCAATTATTCCCTGCAGTTAGATTCCGAGAGAGCGCGACATGAACGTATAAAGCAACGTACGGAACAGTTGTTAATAAGCCAACCCCAAAAACGAGGAAAACATCCCTACAACTGAAACAGCAAATTAAACTGCAAACGCATCGCAGGGGACGCCATAGCAACAAGGAGGATAAGCGGAGCGAAAATAGAGCCGGAAGGAAAAAGGCAAATCAGTCCCGTTGTCTCACCTATAGAGAAGCCTGAGAATACTCCTGTCGCCGAAACGGAGTGCTACTGCTGTCAGGCGAACCTCTTAACAATATAGGAAGCCATTTATTCACTCCAAAGGCTGAGCAGCTCTCACCTAGCTCAAGAGCAGATAACCGACGTTTGCATCAGACCAGAGTGAATTAGTTTTACGGTTTCGAGAAAGAAATGAAGAACTATCGTTGTGCAAATCAAAAACATGGCAAAATAATAATTTAACCGTGTGCTTCGGGTTATTTTGAATTCGTCTATTATCTAAAAATGTAATTTCTCGTCCTTCTTGCAGGGGTTTCCCAGAGACGCTTTCATAGTTTTCTTGCAATTTCTGCCGTTTGGTCTCACGTTTTTCGAAACATTTGAAACATTGAGCCGGGTCCAGCGTTTCCTTTGATAATTTTTTCTATTGTTCACTAATTGTCAAGTTTAAGGTGAAGAAATCTCGTAGCCACCTGTCGTCCGAAGTCTCTTAGTTGCATACTTGAGCTAGATTTCAAGGTCGCATGAAAGGAATCGCACGTCTCACGTTGTGACTGTTTTCTGGACAGTAGTCTGAAGACATCCAGCGCCATATAATTGTGAGATTTGAAAGTGTGTTCCAACATTTCCTATTACACAAAGGTCATCACTCTATGTTCGGCAATTGCGACATTTACATACTTGCTGTGTGGCTTTTTTCTACCATCTTTACCCAACGAGAGGAAGACATTTTTTGAGCCTTTTATTCCCACTATATCCCAAGGAGTATTGTTGATTATAACGCCGGTTTGTTGATTGCGTATTGCGTATTGTTGATTTAAACCACCAGTT